ACAATGAGACCGGAACGGTCAGGGATGGTGAACAAGGATTCGATACAGTCGAGGATAACTCGTTGTTGATCCGAACCATTGACATAACTCGACGGACCATTCGGATGGAAATACGAAAACATAATTCAGTCGCTTATTTTTCATCGTTATGCAAAATTCCCGTATACCGGGTGTCCAAAGTTTTAACAACCAAAACAAATATCTTCTGTTTGTCAAATTTTTTTTTTTAATTTTTCTCATATTCTACACAATCAAATCGGAGAAAAAAAATGTTACATACAAACATATACTTTCAAACCAATTTTTGACGATTTCTTTGGTGGATAAACTCGAAAAATAGTAAGTTTCTGACCCTGTGACGATAATTTTGAATTTTCATTAAAGCTCGTGCCCCGGTGGTAGACGTTTGAAGATCTCAGGCGCCGGTCACCGGTGACCGCTAGTTGGAAATAGAAACAAATCATCGTCGTCGATGAAAACGAAGGGGAAAATGGGTTCGCGACTACGTTACGCGTAATGTAGTCCGCGATGTACTTTATTACAATGGTGGTACGCGATATATCGACGAAACGGAGCCATTGCTCTCGTTCGAGTTCCGTTTCGCTCGCAATCTTATCGGTTTGAGCGAGGTTGGTCCAATCGGTCGATGAATAGGCTTCAATGACCACGCACGACATCGTTAACTGTTAATTGCCGTTCGTGTTTTTGCCCACGGTCGTTTTTGTCCCTCCTTGTCTAGCCGTTACGACCGATTAACGACGCCTGTCCGTGACAGTACGAAAACGAGTCCTTTAATAGCCTTGAACGTTAATAGACTTCCCGCCAAAATCTAACCCCTTCGATCTCTGACGCGAATTTTACGATTTGGTCATGGATATCAATTTAATCGCATCGATGGACTTATTTTTACTTCTTTTCTCAACGATACAGGGTGTCCTAATAACCGTGGACAGATTCAAAAATGGTTTATGTGAAAAAAAAATCCAAAATGGAAAATTAAATGGAAAATTTTTACTTCGCTTCTCAACGATACAGGGTGCCCCAATAACCGGGGACAGATCCAAAAATGATTTATGCGAAAATAAAAATTCAAAATGTGAAATTAAATGTGATATTTTTACTTCTTTTCTCAACGATACAGGGTGTTCTAATAATAATGGACAGATCGAAAAATGGTTAATACGAAAAAAAAATCCAAAATGTGAAATTAAATGTGAAATTTTGATTTCTTTTCTCAACGATACAGGGTGTCCTAATAACCGTGGACAGATCCAAAAATGGTTAATGCGGGAAAAAAATCCAAAATGTGAAATTAGTTTTGAGAAAATTGATTTTGAAAATTCATCGAGCATAGATTTTGACTTAAAAATAAATTTACGAACGAATTAATAATTTTCGTTATTTATATCGAACACGATACATCGATTGCAAAATTTTGAAAAATAACGTCGCCAACGTCGTCATGGAAAACATACGCTTCTCGCGCGGAACGAAATTATGAAAATAAATTCCGTCGTCGAAGGAACAACATCCGGTGTATATTATTCAACGTTCAACAAAGTGTCGCAAGCGTAAACATTTTATAAAAAACAAAGTGCCAATGTTTATTTTTACGCCGTGAAAATATGTTTTGCAATCCCGTGTGTGTTCGAGAAGATAAAATGTAGAACAATCGTATAATACGTTTCTTTACTTACTTTATTTTATTTATCTCAGCTACGCCGACGTTGTTATAAATTATTTTCCTTTGTCCTTTCTTGCTTCTTACGTTATCGTTTCTGTTACTTTCGTTTTCATTATTATTATGTATGTCATGCGTCTGCAAAGGATTACTATTGTTTATTAAAAAATATTGCAATCTGGATAAAAAAAATGAACACCGAGAATTACCTTGAATATGTCTCCCAATAACGTAAACAGGAAGCTGGGAGTGCGGATGGGTAGAAATGAAATCAGTCGAACAAACTCCATTATTTTGTAATAATAAAATGTATTATAAATATATAGTTGTATTGTTGGCAATACTTATCAAACTATAATTTTTTCATGCGTGGTACATGAGACTTGCGTGTATGTGTATTCGGTAAATGAAAGTCGCCGCGAAGGGGGTGAGATTCGCACAAACCGCGGGGAGAGCAGCGCCCCGAAAAGAAACCATAATAAACGGAAACAGAATCGAACATAAAGAATTCAATCGTCGACAACCTCTGCCACAAAAAAAACCATTTTGTTACCCGACGTAAATGTACTTGAAAATTGCAAATAAAATTCTGCTCTCGACCGCGATCGAACTGACCACCACGCCCCCTCTGGCGGCGCGCATCGCTATTTTTCAAGGCTCGCCATTCCTCTGATTCACGAAACTCTGTATCCATTTATCACCTTTGTGGTCCCATTGTGGATTGGACCGAAATCGTTCGAGCCCCCCCCGCCACCCTCGTTTGTCCTCGATTTTCATCGAAACGCCAAAAAAAAAGAATTTACAAATCGCGCGTCGCTCGCGAAATCTCCGTCAAGTTTTTTTTCCGGGGGGGGGGAGGGGTTACGGTCCAAAAAAAAAGAATAGGTCTCCGTTAAAAACTAGTGCTAAAACGCTAAATCGCCAACCGGAACGACAAACGAGAACACGGTGGTCGAAGATGGCCGCCGCCGCCGTCGCCGACGGGTTCGCGGCGCCATCTGGCATCGAACGACTTCCGTCAACCTATCAATTGGCTCCCAAATCGCGACTTCGCATTATCATTCTCTTAGTACGTATCGCTACTGTCACTCACACACGCATACCGTACACACACGCGCGCAAACACTCTCTTTCTCTCTTACTTTCTTCGTCGAGCATGATCTCCCGCGCAAAATCTCTCGAACGACCGTCGCGGTCGCGTATCACAAGGAGAAATTAAGTATACACACTTTTTTCTTGTTGTTGCTGTTGCTTTTTTTAGACCTTTCATCGATGGGAATCGCCGCGCGGGCGAACACCGACGGGCGTGCCCGTCGAGGCCCCCGCGGGCAAAAAGGATACGGGGGGGCAGAGAAAATAATATTTCGGGAGGGAGGGTGGCTGGTCTCGGAGAAACGGAAGAAAAATACAAAAAGAAAAAAAAAATATATATATAATATATATATAATGTGTGTATATATATATATGTATATATATATTAAAGAAAAAATCGGGGTTGCGAGGGTTGCTAGAATGATCGGTTTCCTCTGAGAGCCAAGAGATCGACCTGCCGCGTTACGGCGGTTGACCGTAACGCGCCGTTTTACATTATAGCGTGTATCTGTGAAGAACGTTTTGTATAAAATATTGTATAAATATATAAATACTTGGTTGAAAAAATAAATATATTAAATTAAAAAAAGAGACGTAACGTAAAGTATATTATTTATTATTAATATTATATTTATATGTATAAGTTGTCAAGTCTATAACACGAGGGTATGAAATTCTGCGTCGTTCAGTGCTGCGACCGAGTATCCCCCGCGCGTATCGATCGGGAGTGCTTGTTTTTGTTATGTTTTTTTTTTATTTTGTTTTTTTTTTTTTTGTTTGTTTTGCTACCACATATTCTTTCGGACGTGTGAAGAGCCTAACCGCATGGGACTATGGAAATGCTCGACGAACGATTCCCTGGACTTTCGGGGGGAGGGGGTACAGTTCGAGGAAGAACCGTGCGCGCGCTTCTTTGGCCGTTGGAAACAAACGATCGTGGAAACTAAGAAACATGCATGCTTTTGACACCCTGCTAAAAAAAAAAATGATTCGAATAAATACGTAATAATATTAATTGCACTAAATCAACTAAAAACTCTCGCTCGCACTCGCTCTACTTTTTCCCCGCTAAATGTACAAAATTAAATATTCTAAGTGACCAAAGAAGCGCGCGGGGGCCCTCTCGACCGTTCGAATTTAACCCTCCATTGCACGACGACTTGTGAAGTTCATCGGGAAACATTTTACAAAGATTACACACGGTTACATACCGGGTGCTAATAGATCTACAAATTGCGTCGCTTGTTTGGCTGGAAATGGAAATGGAAATGGAAATTAATCGATTCGTGAATATGTAAATAACTGAGAAATCATTTCTTTCTCGAAATATAAAACGAAGAGTATGCGATAGAAGGCTAAAGCGGTTTTATAAAGCGTATATGAAAAATTTTCTGCTTCGATGATCCTCTATAACCCAAATTATATTTCGTTTCTAGCAGAAATTATAGATCGGAAGAAAAAATTTTATTGTACTAAATGATTTTTAGCCAACAAAATTTTGAACGAATAAAATTCAACCCTTATCTGTTTTTGAACTATTGTAATGGCTACGTGACTGATAGACAGGGTTACAGAGGGTTGATTACTATCACGTATACTGCTGCTCTGATGTACATACACACGCGTTTCACTGAAAATATTATTCCCTGTTTAAATACAATTTTATCCAACGAACGAGAAATACGCGTAAAAAAATTTCATAACGATCGAACACCAAACATTCGGAGCGGCAGCGTACGCAAAAAACGAAAAAGTTAATAAGAGGAAAAGAACGTCGATATAGCGGGTGTGTTTACACGCGTAAGAATCGACCGAAAGCCAAGAAACCTTCCTCGAACTCGTCCAGCCCCGTGCGTCGGAGGGTAGGAAGAAAACGGAGGGGGGGGAAAAAAAACCCGTGGGACTGGAGAATGCAGAAACATGGTAAGAGCCGGCGAGCATAACGAGAGGGAACCCCGTGCGGCAGCATCGCGAGACACTTTCGAAACGTATGCGCCGTCGCTACCTTCTTTCGTCGTTCGTACGATTAGTCGCGAGCCGAGAGAGAAAACGATCTCTTTTCCAGTTTCACTTTGAACCGCGCGACAAAGACGAGAAGCGTACAGGCGGCTTCGTTTTGGAGAACGCGCGTGGAACAATCCCCCCTTGGTCCCCCTCCCAACCCCTCGTCTACGTCCCTGTCCCTGCACGTCCCCCGCCGCTTGCCCCCGGAGCCCGCCCTGCCCACCGTGCCCACGCATCTTTTTATTTCTCTTCCGAGCGAGAAGAAACTTCTCCGGGACTTTCACTCTCTGCGCCCGGGTAAACGCGCTCTTCTATCATTCTTTCTCCGTCTGCGTTCTCTGTCCCAGCCTGTGTGCGACTGGTACTACGTAGTACGTGGGTCCGTGTCTCGTTCCGATTGACCCTCTCGCGCGTCACACGAGAGATTTTCTAACCGAGCTGCGCGCGCAACCGCGCCGGCTAACGCACGAGAGCTCGCGACGCGACGAATCGAACTAAAAATTACGTTGGCTACCGTATCGCGTATATTCTTCGTTGTCAATGACAAGAAAAGGATTAGTTATCGAACCGAGACGTTACAGACGATAATGCTTTGCAGGAGACATCGCGGCACAGGCTATGACACGCGTGTTACCACTGATTTTTCGGTTCCGGTCGAACGTTGGTTTCTCGAGGCGGCCATGTTTAGCGGTACCGGCGCGACACACATCGATGTTTCGCTGGGAATATCGCGAGGTATGGAAAATCTCGACTACCCGGGGCATCGATTTTCGATGCTGTTGGAACACGTCGATATTACAGCGACTATATCAAACATAAGAAACAGTATCTAATCGGTATCGATTAAGTTGTATCTGTTCGCAACTCAGGCCGCACCGATTAGAGACTTTTTCCTATTTTCGATATGTTTCACGACGGTATCGACGCCCGCGCGATCCATACGGTGTTAATATCGTCATAAAAGTATCGAAAATTGGTACAAAACGATACTTCGTTATCTGACATCGATACGGTGTATCGGACTTCGAGAAACCAACGCGCGTTCGACGAGTAACGAGCAGCGTTAAAAAAAAAAAAAAAGAAATAATCGGTAAAATAATTTAAGAGCAGACAACGGGTGTCCCCTACAGTTTCTCGAACGTGATCTCACGTCGAGACCACTTCGCGGCGTGAAAACGAAGAAGCGCGTTCGCCGTCGTGTAAATGAGCAAAAAGAAAATGGAAGCCCGCGATTGATAAACGTGACGCGAAGGCACAAGAGAAATGGAAATGCTTACGAAATAACGGAGAAGAAATTAAATAATGTTCGTTAAATAATGGGGGGATGATGTACAAAGTTGAACGCAACGCGACGAAACCCAGCACGAGGGGGGGGGGGTTTGCTTTTTCGTTTCGTTTCCTGGCACGGAATTACGACGATGAACGATGATATGATCAATGACAACGATCCGTGGAAATGCTAGGCTAGTGCTAACGACAGTAGTAGCGGTGGTGGTAGTGATAGGGGTAGTATAAAGTAGTAGTAATAGCAGCAGTAGTAGTAATAGCAATAGTGATAACGTTAATAATAATAGCGTGATATATATAAATATATTTTACCGCAAAAAAAGTGTCGGCGATAATAGATGGGACGCGGGACTAATTGACCGTATAGTTCGGAGTTTTGAAACGACGATTCGTCGAAGCAACCGACGAAGCTGTGTGTGAGCACTCGCGAAATAATTTCATCGTTACAAGCGGGAAGAGAACAAAAATGAGAAATAAAAAAAAAGAAAAAAAAAAATCAAGAAAAAAAGAAACGATTGTGACCAGATAAATAATAATGGAGAAAAATATTTAAATGGATGCCGGTGCTGTTCGTCGAAGCGCCAGAGGCTTCACTGAGGCGTACAGCGTTGCGAAATACGATTATTAATAATAATTATAATAATAATAAAAATAATAGTTAATAATTAATAATAAAATAATTATATTAATAATATTATAATAATATTAATAAACTAAAACTATAATAACATTTGCTTTCAAGTATAAATTAAACGAAAACATTATTTTTTTTTTTTTTGTTTACCATAAGAAGTGTGCTGTGTGCATATGTACAAAATGTATTCGATTTTCAGAAACCACGTCATTTAGGCACTTTCGTTTTATTTTGTTCTCTCTCTCTCCCTCTCTTTCTCTCTTTCTCTCTTTCTTTCAAAATCGTCAAGGGAACGGCGCCCACCGGAAGCAAGCGTTTTCCAAAACAAGAATATATTCTCGAAAGTCTAAATAAAATGTTGTTATTTTTTTTTTTTTTTTTTGTTTCTCGAAGCGTCTCTTCGAACGTCTCCGAGCCGCGAAAAATGCTTTCTTCCGCGAATCCGACGCGCTCTCGAAATAATGACGCCGCCCCCGTTGACTTTTGTTCACTCTCGCTTTCTCTCTATTCAAACTCTCGTTCGTCATTCTCTCTATCTCTCTTGCTCATCACCTTTCGCTCCCTATAATAGAATATTTTTTTAATAATAGTTTATATTTCTATTGCAATAGTTACATATCACATTTTTTTTTTTAACGGGAGAGAACAATTGCATATACATATATATAAATATATATATATATATATATATATACCACGATATTGTTGATATTTCTTTCTTTCTCTCCCTCTCACTCTCACTCTCTCTTTCTTGCCTAACGCACACATTCGTATCGCTTATTTCATAATCAAGGCCTGCTTTAAGGCACCGCGAGGAAGCCATCGATATCCTTAAACGTACAATATACTCTAAGTTCCTGTTGATTCATTAAAAACTTCCGGCGAATCACTGAGATTTCTTTTTTTTTCCTGTTTCTCTTTTTTTTAAGGTAAAAAGAAAATCCCCCGCGGGATACGTTTGGCTTTTTTGGACCCATATCGATTCTCGGATTGTCTTAAACTTATTTCACCCCTTTTCGAATACGCTAAGAATTGGCGAAAGTGACTCTCGTCCCTTTCTTTCGCGATAAAACCAAGGAGGCGTCAGTGTAAAAAAAAAAGCCAAAATCCCCTAGCCAAGGACGAAGAAAAAAAAAGAAAAAAAAAATCTCTAAATGGGGGGGAAAAAACTGATAAAAAGGATCCTAAGTAAAGGTAACTTAAAGCTGGTCGGAAATTCCTGCGCCTATTGGTCCTCTCGTAAAAAAGAATTGCTTCGAAGGACGAGTAATATGTCTCGTTGTCGAAAAAACCGATCGCGTTTAATAGGCGTGAAAATTGAAATCGTCGTCAAGGAAACGTGTCCGGCCGCCTTCGAAGCGAATAGATTTTCTCGAAAGCCCTTAAGCCGACTCCTCGCCTATAAAATATAACCTCTTTCTCTCGGCACACAAAACACGTTTTCATGTGACTTACGTACGAAGGACAGATTCACTCGGAGAACACGTCGTTTCCCATGCGTAATGCTACACACACGCATACACACACGCACACGCGCAGGCACACGCACAGTTTCACACACACGCACAAACTCGGAACAAACGCGCCACCACTTTCTCTTATTATCCCCCTTTTGCTCGTCACCGCGGCGCTTGGCTCGCACCGCGGCGCCATCTTCCTCTCGCCGCCTGGTACGCACGCACACAAACACACTTTCACTCGCTCAAACATTGGAAGACAATCGGAGTTCTTAAGCCACTTAATTTGCATAGCATGGTTTGATTGTTGATCTGTTCGCGCGATTCGTCACACCGCCCCAATACCGACAGAGCGCGCCACGCTCTCACTTCATCTCTCTCTCTGTCTCTGTTCGCTCTACTCGCCTTCGTCCGTCGCGAGTGCGTGGCGCTGCTGCTGTTGCTCTCTCTCTCTCTATCTATATCTATCTTTCGTCATTTCCTTTCACTCTCGACGCAACTTTCCTTTCCCTTCCTCGCGGACGAAGGGACATCGAAAGATTAAAAAGTTACAAAATGAAAGAATTAAGAAAAAAGAAAAGGATATTACGAATCGAAGAATAGAAACGTAACGTACTAAGTGTTTTGGAATATTGCAACGTTTCACCTGCCCCGGATCGTACGCGACGACACTCTCGTAGGCGAGTCCGTGGATCGGAGATCGCACCAAGGGCGGAGGAGCCGGAGGAACGAGAAGAGGCACTGTACCGGGTGTCCAAGAGAGATCAAAGAACAACTTGCTCGTGGAAAGTTACGATTCGGAAGAAACTTGGGGCCAGTTCCTCCCGTTCCAACGACTCCCCCCCTCCGATCCTGAATCATGTTTCGTTATCGTTCGCGTGCATCCGGGCTGATTACGATCTCGACTTTTCCACTAAATGAACCGTAAACCTAAATTAAAGAAAAAAAGAGAAGAAAACGGCCCTGGTGGTCGGAGTCAGAAAGTGACTGACGCTACTAATGCAGTTAAGAGTAATGACGATATTCAGTATATATACGATAGTGATATTACTGATAACGTTATTAATAATATTAATTATAGCGATAATAATATATAATATATAATATAATATAATAATAATCAGGACGATTATGATAAAAAGGAAGAGACGATCGTTTTAAAGAACGAGAATAAGATGTCTAACGTGTTCTACGAACGGAAAAGAAACGCTTAAATAAGAAGCCGAGTACGACGGAGAGGAAGAATCCGTCCCACGCGAGAAATGCAGCTCAAAATGTTTTCTTTTAAAAAAAAAAAGAAAGAAAAAAAAAATAAAAGAAAAAGAAACTTTCTCCTCGAGTCGGTGGGAGAGCCCGCCCCCTCTCCCCCACACGTTCTCCTGTCTTTTCGTTAGATAAATTAGCGTCTTCGGGTCCAACGCTCTTCGCATTTCCGGGTTCTCCTTCGGGTTTAAAGAAAATAACGTTCTCGTGAACACAATCATCTCTCTCTACACGTAACGTCTGTGTGTGTGCGCGTTTGTGCGTGTCCTCGTGAAAGAAATTTGCGACAAAAAAGATAAACGATATATAAATATATACCAAAGAGTCGAAGGACCCAGGAGAGGCTCCCTTAGATCTTCAGGTTCTCGAAGTCGCCGAGGGTGCTGCTGATCCTGTTGAACACAGGCAGCCTGGACTCGGCGTTCGGCGACAACGGCGACGGCGTCCTCGGCGCCAGCTCGTCGGAGCCCAACGGACTGCAGACGCTGTTCGTCCGCGGGCTGGGGCTCTGTCTCGTCGCCAGCAGACCGAAATCCTGGCCGAAGCTGAACGCGGTGTTCGGTAGACTCGTGACGGACGGTTGCTGGCTGGTGCAGTCGTCGCTGAAGAAGCTCGCCATGGAGTTTGTGGGCGACTGACTGAGGCTGGACGAGGGCGAGATCGAGTCCCCGGTGCTGCCCAGGGAGAACGTCGGGCTCAGATTCAACGGCTTCGGCCTGGTGGCGCCGATCACCGAGCTGACCGTCGTCGAGCCGGTCTGATGATGATGGTGGTGGTGGTGGGAGTGGTGATGGTGATGCTGGCTGGTGGTCAAGCTCAAGGAATTCGTTCTGAGCAACGGCGGCGGGTTGTAGGTGTTCGTGCCGCTGCACAGGCTCAACGAGTTGGTTCTCATCAGGCTCGGCGTGGCGGCTGCCGCGACTTGCGGCGACGCGGCGATCTGCTCGAGGAGCGCCACGCTGTTCACGGTTTGATTTACGTTGGAGCCGTTGCAGGCGGCGCTGTTGCCGCCGACGGCCGCCGCCGCTGCTGCCGCCGCGGCCGCCGCGCTCAACAACGGATTCAAGCCCATGATGTTCGGCTGCGTGGAGCCCAGCTGGGCGCTCACCTTCTGATTGTGAATTCGCGCCTCCTCGAAGTTGTGAATGAAATGGCAACGCGGCCCGTACGGGCAGAAACCGATCGTGTGGAAGGTGCGGCACAGCTCGGTCTTGTATTTCGGGTGACGGGCAAGGTTGCGCAGTTCGCTGTAACCGTGCGCGAACTGACACTTGTCGCCGTATTTGCACGTGCCGCTCTCCTCGAACGGCCGACAGAGCTCTGTCTTGTACCGGGACGTCGGCTCGCTTGCGCTGCGGTCCAGCTTACGGTGCTGCTCGATCAGAGTGGTTACCAGGGACGTGTAGCTGCGCCGCAGAGGCGCGTGGCCGCCATTGTTGCCGGACGAACCGTTCCCGGACGCGTTCGACGACGTTGACGCTGCTTCCTTCGCCTTCGCGGAAGCCGCATTCTGCAACAAGAGACACCCATTCAGATATCGTTCGATGATAAAAACTTATGCGCTTATATTATGTTGGAAATACACGACAATAGTGGGAGTTTTATTTTTGATTTTTAAATTATAATTAGTCTTATATATATTAATCCTTTGCACTCGTATTTCTTTGTGGTCGTATGTTGCCATATAATTGGCATTCTACACAGTTTATTGTTATACATATTTTTTGGCGATTCTGTGGAAGAGATGGAAAGGAAGACATTCGAGCAAACCCTGTCTTAGATGATGAGATATTGGGAGGCGGTCAAAGGAGTATATATATGCAGATGGCAGGTCGGTCGAGCGCTTGCGAGAAAGACAAGAACGTAGTAATAATTCGGTTAAGACTGAAAATCCATTTAAGGGTTAGATTTACTTCAGATTCGCTTGGAACTTGAGCAATTTCTTCCCTTAAAATTTTAGCGATTCGTCATATTATTTACCAGGATGATAATAAATTTCCCAAATACAGTAACGCAAAGATTCGAAGATCTTATGTTAGAATATAAAATGACTCAGATTCTCAAGTTGAGATGGCGCTAACATCATTCGAAATTCAAGATGGCTTCCCCTCCTGGTTTCCCGTATGACAAATGTGAATTTTAGTATCTCACATGTCTCCACATGTACAAGGTTTCTGACTGAATTTTTGCATCGTTTGCACTCGTTACTATTGTTATTTATTAAAAACCAGTACTTGGGATGAAGTTGAATTCCTTTTTCGAGAATACATCAACAGCAGGAAATCACGAAACAAACGCGACACCAGCGGCGTAAATAACAAAACCAGAAACCAGAAACCAGACTCCGTCGCTACCGGGTGTTTAGAGAGACTTGGAATAACAGAAGGTTTCAAAAGGAGGTATCACCGTGCCTGAAGATAAACTCGAGTCGAATGCACATTAAGCGTAGTTGATTGCCGGGCGTGATTGCAGCGAGTCTCGAAGGATGCTCGAACAATGGCGCCGTTTACCCCGAAAACGCGAGTTCCCCGCGGACATTACGACATCAGAAGCTTTATGTAATCGGATAATACAGAGATGGAAAATCGTTGGTCAATAGTGATGATTTATATCTAATAGGCTCTGATCAAGAATACAGGAAGCGTATAGAATTGCTTTATCCGCACGAAGTCTCGAATCACGTGGTGCATGTAAAGGAGACATTCGCGTTATCCTTATTTCGCATTACCGTGAAAAATCCTTTACGTAACCTTTCCGTTGCACGCGAGGCCAGAAACCAGCAAAATTTATCGACTGAAAATTCCAGGAAACCATCTTATTCTCGCGACTTCTTTTCTCGAACAATCAAACGACAAATTGGAATTGTTTGGTCGTTTGGAAAATAAAACGAAACGGAGATAATTATGGAAAAAAAAAAAAGTATGTCGAACGAGAGATCCGCGAGATGATCCAAATATTAAAACAATGTTTACGACAGAATCTTAAATGTTAATTCGAACTCCCACTGGCTCTGAAAGTATTTGAATACTAATCGTAATATGGTAATTCCGTTCAAGTACGTAGTCGAAGCCTTCGTGAATATTCATCGACGTTACACATTCACGTTGCCGCAAATATCCATCGTGAAAAACTGCAATAAAATTAGAGCCTATATCGAACGGGGAAAGTAAGAGGACAATTGACCTAATTTTTTATACAGGGTGTTAGGTTAGGTCTGGGGAAAAATTTTAATGGAAGATTCTAGAGGCCAAAATAAAACGAAAATCAAGAATACCAATTTGTTGACGGAGACTTCGTTAAAAAGTTATTAACAATTGAATTCAAAAATTTCAAATCGTTCTGGAAAAATTATTTTCGGTTGCGGGGGTCAATTATAATCATTTTTGGTTAATACACATACCTCCGAAATCCTACGCATTTTCAAGAAAAAAATTCGAGTAGGTACTGAAACTTTAAGGCGAAATTAAAAGATTTCAAATCATATTAAAAAAATTATATTTAATTACAGGGGTCAATTACAAGCATTTTTGGTGAATAGACATATCCTCGAAATCCTACCCGTTTTCGAGAAAAAAATTCGAGAAGGTATGAAATGTTTCGACAAAATTAAAAAATTTCAAATCGTTCTGGAAAAATTATTTTCGGTTGCGGGGGTCAATTACAATTATTTTTGGTGAATAGACATACCCCCGAAATCGTACCCGTTTTCTAGAAAAAAATTCGAGAATGTGTGAAATTTTTTGACGGAAAAAAAAAATTTCAAATCGTTTTAGAAAAATTATTTTCGGTTGCGGGGTTCAATTACAATCATTTTTGGTGAATAGACATACCCCCGAAATCCTGTGCATTTTGGAGAAAAAAATTCAGTACAAGTGGAATTTTAAATGTTAATAACTTTTTAACGAAGCCTCCATCAACAAATTGTTATTCTTGATTTTCGTCTTATTTTGGCCTCTAGAATCCCCCATTAAAATTTTTCCCAGGGTTGTGAAGAATAATACCCTGTATAAAATCAGACCTTAACAATTCGAGGATATGCAATTTTAAATTACGAGATTTATATTACATTTTTAACGGAACTGTTAAATAATATATATTGCAGTTTATATTCGCGCTGAACTCTACACTGATAACCTGTTTGATCACTATTTAGTATCAAGTCCACGCTAAACTTGGTATTAAATGCAGAACGTGCCAATGTAACTAATTATTCCGAACGTGGTTTATACTAATTGGAAAATCCTCTCTGACAACAAAGATGGAGAACAAAAAAATCATAAATATTCAATGGAATTTATACTCTGACGCATTAATCGTCGAATAAAAATTATAGTTAATGCTATAAAAGTTACAGAACTCCAACATTTATTGTTGAAAAATTTGTTGAAAAAGTTATTGAAAAATTTTAAACTAATTTGTCTTGACAACCCATTGCATCTAAAAAGTGTTTCTACGAATCGTTGGGGCCTATTATATGAGTTATGACTCATTGAAGAAAGTCTGGGTTTCTTGTTCGTAAATGATTCCAATCGATTGATGGACGCGTTCGTTAACGACCCTTTCTTGCCGATAATTGGCCCAACGATCGTCGAGAAAACGTCATGCGTTAATCGTTTTTATATCGTGGAGGGCCTAAACCGGGGGTGCCCGGTCGAGAGTTATCGTATCGCGCGTTCAGGTATACGAGAATAGACAAAAGGTTCGACGTTCCGACGGCGAACGGAAAGGCGAGAATTCGTGGAAGAAGAAACTACCTGGAACCGTCCAACAAACGTCCTCTCGAAACAATCTAATCGCACGGGCCGACCTTTCCAAATCACGAAACCCCATCTCTCGCCATCTTCTATCTTACTAACCGACATTTGTCAGAACCTTCGTTCGCGTTTCATTAAATTCTACTTCCGAAACGTTCGTCACGGCTTTAAATTTACAATTAAGCCGCGAGCTAGAAAAGTATTTAACGATTATTCGAACGACGCATTAACTGCTCGTTAAACAACGATTAAAATCCAAATATAGAATCCAAATGTTTCGTAACGAACGGATCGAAGTTTAAATCTGTCGTTAAAAAAATAGCGTAAATAATTGTACGCGTTTATTCGTTGTCTATTATTAGAATACAATTTTAATTATTGATGATAATACTTCGATTATATTTCAGAATTCGTAGAAAAATTTTAATGGCGGATTCCAGAGGCCAAAATAAGATGAAAATCAAGAATACCAATTTGTTGATGGAGGCTTCGTTAAAAAGTTATTAACGTTTAAAGTTCCACCCTTACTGAATTTTTTTCTCGAAAGTGTGTAAGATTTCGGTGGTACGCGTAATGACCAAAAATGATTGCAATTGACCCCTGACAACGAAAATAATTTTTTTAGAACGATTTGAAAAATTTTTTTTCGTCAAAAAATTTCTGCACCTACACGATTTTTTTTCTCGAAAGTGGATAGGATTTCGGAGATATGTGTAATGACCAAAAGTGATAGAAATTGACCCCTGCAACCGAAAATAATTTTTCCCGAACGATTTGAAATTGTTGACTTTAATTGTTAATAACTTTTTAATGATGCCTCCATCAACAAATTGGTATTCTTGATTTTCGTCTTATTTTGCCCCCTAGAATCTCTCATTAAAATTTTTCCCACGGTTGGTCGAACACTCTGTATATCTAATTTTTCAAAAATGAAACTGTTGAAATAAATAAACTTTGAACATACTTGTACAATTTACTGAGATTAAAAAATTCAATTATACAGAGACGAGAAATTACGAATTCTTCAATGGCAAATTAATCGTGGCATAAAATCTCGACAAAAATAAAGAAACAAAAATGATTCATCTTCAATGGCCGGTGAATCATGGTTAAAGTGTAGCAATCTGTTAACTCTCCTGTTCCAATAAATCAAAGTATCAGCGCATCGGTAGCACGCGTTTCGAAAGAGTTGTAAATTCAAAATCCTGCGAGCAATCAAAGTCATGATTCATGAAATTGGCCGAGGAATCGAGCCGGAAGTGCTATTACTGTTAATCCTTCCATCGATCGTAAATCACATTGAAATAAAACTCTGCTACAACAAAGCTCGTACGTTCGAGAACCTACTTGCAGAACTATCGCGTATAATTCTATCTACAAAAACGCTCGGGACCCATTACCGACTTGTACAGTAACCATACTTGTCTATCGATTCAACGAATACGTTTTACTTTCCATAAAACAAAACGTATATTTTTTTGCCACGCACCTTACGCGACCTTCCTTATATAATCGTTAATAATCGACTGTAAATTTATTCAATGTAACCGTCCACTTTTCTTACACCGAAACTTTCACTCTATTGTCATTCCCCTCGACTGCTGTTAATTGTATAACATTATACATACGTGTCCTTGGACCGTTTAAAAATGTTTTCTCAAACATCATTCACGTTTATTTATTTCATTTCTAATTCTATAACATAATGTGTCTTCGGATATTCCAAAATTAATTTGTACAGAACGATGCGAATTTT